GACATCACACACGGTGCAGCATCCCAAGTGACACCACACACGGTGCACCACCCCAAGTGACATCACACACGGTGCAGCACCCCAAGTGACATCACACATGGTGCAGCACCCCAAGTGACATCACACACGGTGCAGCACCCCAAGTGACACCACACACGGTGCAGCACCCAAGTGACATCACACGATGCAGCAACCCAAGTGACATCACACACGGTAGAGCACCCAAGGGGACATCACACACGGTGCAGCACCCCAAGTGAAATCACACACGGTGCAGCACCCCAAGTGACATCACACACGGTGCAGCGCTCCAAGTGACATCACACACGGTGCAGCACCCCAAGTGACATCACACACGGTGCAGCACCCCAAGTTACATCACACACGGTGCAGCACTCCAAGTGACATCACACACGGTGCAGCACCCCAAGTGACATCACACATGGTGCAGCACCCCAAGTGACATCACACACGGTGCAGCACCCCAAGTGATATCACACACGGTGCAGCACCCCAAGTGACATCACACACGGCGCAGCACTCCAAGTGACATCACACACGGTGCAGCACCCCAAGTGACATCACACACGGTGCAGCACCCCAAGTTACATCACACACGGTGCAGCACTCCAAGTGACATCACACACGGTGCAGCACCCCAGGTGACATCACACACGGTGCAGCACTCCAAGTGACATCACACACGGTGCAGCACCAGAGGTGACATCCCACACGGTGCAGCACCCCAAGTGACATCACACATGGTGCAGCACCCCAAGTGACATCACACGGTGCAGCACCCCAAGTGACATCACACATGGTGCAGCACCCCAAGTGACATCACACACGGTGCAGCACCCAAGGTGACATCACACACGGTGCAGCACCCCAAATAATATCACACATGGTGCAGCACCCCAGGTGACATCACACACGGTGCAGCACCCCAAGTGACATCACACATGGTGCAGCACCCCAAGTGACATCACACGGTGCAGCACCCCAAGTGACATCACACGGTGCAGCACCCCAAGTGACATCACACACGGTGCAGCACTCCAAGTGACATCACACACGGTGCAGCACCCCAAGTGACATCACACAGGGTGCAGCACTTCAAGTGACACCACACACGGTGCAGCACCCCAAGTGACATCACACATGGTGCAGCACCCCAAGTGACATCACACACGGTGCAGCACCCCAAGTGACATCACACACCGTGCAGCACTCCAAGTGACATCACACACGGTGCAGTACTCCAAGTGACATCACACACGGTGCAGAACCCCAAGTGACATCACACACGGTGCAGCACCAAAAGTGACATCACACATGGTGCAGCACCCCAGGTGACATCACACACGGTGCAGCACCCCAAGTGACATCACACACAGTGCAGCACCCTGTGACATCACACGGTGCAGCACCCCAGGTGACATCACACACGGTGCAGTACCCCAAGTGACATCACACACGGTGCAGCACCCCAAGTGACATCACACATGATGCAACACTCCAAGTGACATCACACGGTGCAGCACCCCAAGTGACATCACACACGGCGCAGCACCCCAAGTGACATCACACACGGTGCAGCACCCCAGGTGACATCACACACGGTGCAGCACCCCAGGTGACATCACACACGGTGCAGCACTTCAAGTGACATCACACACGGTGCAGCACCCCAAGTGACATCACACACGGTGCAGCACCCCAACTGACATCACACATGGTGCAGCACCCCAAGTCACATCACAGATGGTGCAGCACTCCAAGTGACATCACACATGGTGCAGCACTCCAAGTGACATCATACACGGTGCAGCACTCCAAGTGACATCACACACGGTGCAGCACCCTAGGTGACATCACCCCAAGTGACATCACACACGGTGCAGCACCCCAAGTGACATCACACATGGTGCAGCACCCCAGGTGACATCACACACGGTGCAGCACCCCAAGTGACATCACACACGGTGCAGCACCCCAAGTGACATCACACACGGTGCAGCACCCCAACTGACATCACACATGGTGCAGCACCCCAAGTCACATCACAGATGGTGCAGCACTCCAAGTGACATCACAGACGGTGCAGCACTCCAAGTGACATCACACACGGTGCAGCACCCCAAGTGACATCACACACGGTGCAGCACCCCAGGTGACATCACACACGGTGCAGCACACCAAGTGACATCACACATGGTGCAGCACCCCAGGTGACATCACACACGGTGCAGCACCCCAAGTGACATCACACACGGTGCAGCACCCCAAGTGACATCACACACGGTGCAGCACCACAACTGACATCACACACGGTGCAGCACCCCAAGTGACATCACACACGGTGCAGCACTTCAAGTGACATCACACACGGTGCAGCACCCCGTGACATCACACACGGTGCAGCACCCTAAGTGACATCACACACGGTGCAGCACCCCAAGTGACATCACACACAGTGCAGCACCCCAAGTGACATCACACACGGTGCAGCACCCCAGGTGACATCACACACGGTGCAGTACCCCAAGTGACATCACACACGGTGCAGCACCCCAAGTGACATCACACATGGTGCAGCACCCCAAGTGACATCACACGGTGCAGCACCCCAAGTGACATCACACACGGCGCAGCACCCCAAGTGACATCACACATGGTGCAGCATCCCAAGTGACATCACACGGTGCAGCACCCCAAGTGACATCACACACGGTGCAGCACTCCAAGTGACATCACACGGTGCAGCACCCCAGGTGACATCACACACGGTGCAGCATCCCAGGTGACATCACACACGGTGCAGCACTTCAAGTGACATCACACACGGTGCAGCACCCCAAGTGACATCACACACGGTGCAGCACCCCAACTGACATCACACATGGTGCAGCACCCCAAGTCACATCACAGACGGTGCAGCACTCCAAGTGACATCACACACGGTGCAGCACTCCAAGTGACATCACACGGTGCAGCACTCCAAGTGACATCACACACGGTGCAGCACCCCAGGTGACATGACCCCAAGTGACATCACACGGTGCAGCACCCCAAGTGACATCACACATGGTGCAGCACCCCAGGTGACATCACACACGGTGCAGCACGCCAAGTGACATCACACACGGTGCAGCACCCCAAGTGACATCACACACGGCGCAGCACCCCAAGTGACATCACACATGGTGCAGCACCCCAGGTGACATCACACACGGTGCAGCACCCCAAGTGACATCACACATGGTGAAGCACCCCAAGTGACATCACACACGGTGCAGCACCCCAGGTGACATCACACACGGTGCAGCACCCCAGGTACGTCGTGTATCGTGAACTCTGGCTTACACGTTGCAGTAAAGTCTTGTGTCAGAATGGATGGTTGTAAGCACAATCTCTACTTTGTTTTGTAAAAAAAATAGTTGGCCGAACTGATATTGAATGAAAAACTTCAGGTGATAGTGCAGGCAATGTCCGCTGGGGGTGTCTGTGATGGTGTTGTTAACTGATGGAGGAGATGGAGTGCCCCAGGTAGTTCTTTTTTTTTCCTGTGAATAGTGGACCAAACTTGGCTGGTGTATATCTAAGAGTGGAAACACGGCTTGTAGGGAGACTCGTTTAGCTTGTCTGATGGTTCCTCTTGGTAAAAAACATTGTTTTGGGATCTTTATGGAACTGTTTTAAAGCCTACTGCGATAACTAGGTACAATTACTAAAACTAACACTTAGTTATTACCACTGCTACATCTACAACTACTTGTAATGTAACTGCTACAACTGTCACGATAACTATCATATTGTAACTATTTCTAAAACTACTACCAATAATACTATAACTACATGAGTAACGCGGAACAGTCAGTCGTCGTAACAATTCATGGCAGTGTCCGGAAGTGGTAATCAGCTGTGAGATTTACAATTTATTTTACCTTGACCACTCAAATAACCACCACGACCTTCCATGGTGCACATCACACCCTCTCTCTCACACACATTGCATAAATACATCCATACATACAGACCACACACACAGCACACACACATACGCAACACACACACACACACTCACCACCACTCACAAAACACACACACACATCACACACACACTCACACACACACTCCACACACACACACTCCAACACACACTCCACAACACACTCCACACACACACACATACACCCACACACACACACACACACACACACATGTATATAATATATATATATATATATATATATATATATATATATATATATATATATATAATATATATTATATATATGTGTGTGTGTGTGTGTGTGTGTGTGTGTGTGTTGTGTGTAAGTGCGCGCGCGCTTATGTATAAGAATCACTTTTAACATATAATCCGGCAAGATAACAAATCACTACCACCAGACTAAGTAGGTTATCAAGAGTACAAAAGCAATCGAATCTAGAATTTTCACATAAAGGGGTGTGAAGGCTCCAACTGTTGCCCAAATCCCATTTTGCAAAAAGGCCGACATCACAATCGTAGACCAAGGGGACTGGTTACAATGTTTTATGTATTTAATTGCTAAAATGGAAAAAAAGAATGGAATTGTGAAATTGGATTGTATAAATGATGTATACAATAAGCTGTTAGGAAAAGAATTGATTGTTAGAATTATGAGTGACAGGAAAAAGGATATTCTAGCATTAAGTGAAACAAAGTTAAAAGGTATGGGGATTTTGAATGGGGGATAAATAAAAATATTTAGTCAGGTGTATCTCAAACCAACCTCAATTTTTTTAACATACGGGAGAAAGAAAACTCTAAAATGGAACACATACGACACCCGATTTTCCCGGTATTGTCAGGCGATTATTTGTAAATATAGGTTAATACACGTTAACCTAATGAAACGAGAATAACAAACATTTCACAGCTGATGTTAGTCGAAGCAAACAAAAATACACGAATGGCAATTCGGTGAAAAGTCCACGTTCTAACAAGTTGATGTGACAGAACGAGATGTAGATAAATGGTTCAGAGAACCATCACGATGATGAATTGTGAAACACTTGTGAAACACTTGGGTATCTTTACTGTGGAAACGTTTCGCCAACCAGTAGCTTCCTCAGTCCAATAATGAGAAGAATGGTTGAAGATCTAAAGGAGTTTGACGTAATCAGTCCCTCAGCTTGGAGTCGATTTAAACAATCAATTAGGATTGATGGACTATTTACAACGATGTAATTGATTTATGGATAATATTGGACAGGAAAATATGGGTACAAATGTTTAAGTTCATGAACTGTGTGGTGCATAATGAAGGTGGGATGCGAGAACTGGGTGGTTATGTGTGTCTATGTACCTGCAGTTGAGAGGAGTTTGTGTGTAGAGAGAGACAGCTTCTGGGAGGTTAGTCCGGGGGTCAACGCCCCCTCGGTCCAGTCATTGACCAGGCTTCCCGGTGAATCAGGGCCTGATCAACCAGGCTGTTACTGCTGGCCGCAAGTAATCCAACGTACGAACCACAGCTCGGTTGATCGAGTACTGATTTTAGGTATCTGTCCAGCTCCTCCTTGAAGGCAGCCAGGAAGGATCCGCTACTTTTGTTTTCACGCTGATTTGTTCGGACCCCATGACAGCGGTGACCTGAGAGTGTCGTCTCGGTGGAAGTGAGGGGGCGGAAGTCTTGTTAACCAAGACGGAACGAGAATGCAGACCAAGTTTCGGACGACCCTACGTTAAAGCGGTTTATGATGTGTTTTAGTAGGCTGAGAACTCTCTGAAGACGCTGGTAATGACAACTGAGTGAAGGAGTGAGCAGTGCTCCTCCTTCACTGTATTATCGCGTATTCGATTCTGAATGCAACTTCCGACATGTGGTTGCCAGTTTTCTACAGCACCTTCCTGAACGTTTCTTCTGAGAAATTATCTTCAAACTTATGTTGGAGAGGTTTCACTGAGAAAATTTGTACAAACAAAAGATGGTAATGTATTACTGGAATGAGTTAACCCGAGAAAATTTTCTGGTTAATGTGGTAAGTTTTAGCTTTTCAAAAAATTTGACAAATACATGGCAACGATTTTCCCGTGTGACCGGCCGCTCGCCCGCCAGCCTCGCGACTCAAGCCTCCTAGTACCGCTCAGGCAGCCACGTGAGGTGGATATATGCACTGACTCTCTTCTCACGGGACTTTTGAGGTACTCTGGGAGAACTTAACCACAACTCGTTCGTTCCCAGAGCGCTGCCTGCTTCCCTAGAGGATTATTTTCAGTAATCAACTTTTATCGAATCGGGAAGAGATCAACTACACTACCAAAGTGAATATTACAGTCAAAATTTGAATCCTGATCAAACTTTAGCTTTAACAACAGCGTATAGTGATCTAATGGCGAAGTGTATGGAAAAAAACTGTTGAGTTGGAGCAGGTATTTGTAACTTTGTTATCGGAGACGTATGGAAAAGTGCAACACTGCGCATACTGTTTAAAAAAGGCAGAGAAAGTAGGGAGGAGTGAACACCATCAGGCGGGAGTGGGTCCTTTGACCAACACCACTTCCGGTGTAGTCACGGACCGGAAGTGGGGCAAAAAGTATCAACTCAGAGTCAGCAACAGTGGTCAAATATCGCGGCCAGATTTTACACACCAATAATTTAACTTTTAATTGGCACGAGTTGTACAGTTTTCTGGCTAAACCTGACCAGGCAATAAATATTTATTTGCACTATTTGATGCCAAGAAAATACGTTATGTGCAGAGAGACTGTGATTGCTGGCTGAAGCCCTAACTGAAAATCTGAAACAAAATCCTAACACTACACATTGTGAAGATTCATGACTGTCCACATTAGTGTGACCTGATTACTGCAACATGAATTAATAATTAACTAATAACAAATTATTCTAATTACTAGAGGGACTTGTGACTAGTGATAAGAAGGAACTAGTAATAACAAGCACAGTAAAGCATACCCGAGTGTTTATGGTACAACTGTCAGGTGTGGGTATCAAACGAAGCTGAAGTACTGCACAATTCTCGTAAGCAAGACGAAAAATATTACACGCAAACTGAAACATTTAAAACAACGAACTTTTACAATCCAGAGCGCCAGCAGGTCGTCTCTTATTGGTGTTCAGTTGAAGTAGGGACCACCAGCAGTCACTGGCCTCACAAACATCATTGTTTAAAAAGTGACTCGTGCGAGTAGGTGGCTGTTACTCGTCAGAACTGCCGACCATTGTTCCTGCTAGGAGCTGCTCGCATCTCTACTTCATTTTTCTTACTCTCACGTTTTTGTGTTGTCAGACTGGAGTGTGAGAGGCCCCTCACCTCTCGCTCTGATATTCTCTCAAGCCTACAGACAACTACAAAGACGAGAACTATACAAAAAAGGTGAAGAAGAAAAAAATATTTAGAGGGCTCCATTAAAGGCAGTTTATCGTCTTCCGTTTCGACACTGGCAGTAACTAAGGGGAAATCGTGGGCTACAAATTTTCACTGATGACAGGAGAGGTCCCTCCTTCAGGAGGCGCTGGTGGGGACCTTACCGAACACATATACATCTTTGCTCTTCCCTCTGTGTAGTTTTTGTGTGTGCCTGTGCCTGCACTTCTGCAAGGTACTTATATAAACTGGTTTGTGCCCACACATTACTGCTTGCTTGTCCTGTTTGTAGTGAAAAAGAGTGATGCCGGATTTTCGCTTGACCTGACGGAGAGCGTGAGCGTGATGGCGTCTCCGTGGTGTAATGTTGGAAGAGTGTTAGTGGTGGTGCTGCTACTGAGGTTGGCTCTGGCCACCTCCTGCCCCTCTGTCTGTGCCTGCAGGTGGAAAAATGGCAAAGAAGCAGTGGAATGTAAGAACCAGGGTCTGGCCAGCGTGCCTGCAGGTGTTCACCCTGATACACAGGTCCTTGATCTGTCCGGTAATAACCTTCAGACTCTTCCAAGACACGCCTTCAAGCGGGCAGGACTTATCAACCTGCAGAAGATCTACCTGAGAGACTGCAAGATTGGCCAGGTCGACCCAACAGCCTTCTTCCAACTCAGTAATTTGGTTGAGTTAGACCTGAGCGAAAATCTACTGACGGAGGTACCTTCCCTGGCTTTCTCTCATATTCAAGCCCTCAGGGATTTGCAGCTACGAGGCAACAGACTCCGCAAGATTCGTAGTGACAGCTTTGCTCACACGCCGTCCCTTGTGCGCCTTGACCTCAGTTATTCGGGCATCAGAAGTGTAGCAGCCTCGGCCTTTCAATCTTTATCCCTCATGGAAAAGCTGGAGATCCAGGGAAATCAACTATCAGAGCTTCCAGTGGCTGCTGTGAAGAGCCTGGAACGTGTGCATGGACTAGAGGTACACGACAACCCCTGGTTATGTGACTGCCGCGCCCTACCTCTGTGGCAGCTGCTGGAGGTGAAGCGTGTCCCACATCCCGTCTCCCCTTCATGCACCTCCCCCACCAGAGTCAAAGGCAGCACTTTTCATTCCCTGACAGAGGAAGACTTTGCCTGTCCTCCCCAGATCCTACCAGTTGGCCGCATGGTGGAGGGCGTGGCGGGGGAGAATGCCACTATCGCTTGTCCTGTAGGTGGCCAGCCTCCACCGCAGGTAATGTGGTTCAAGGGCGAGGCCCCCGTAGTAAATGGTTCTGTAATAGGTCTGGGGCCACAACGTCTGTACGTTATCACAGAGGGTAACAGAAACCTAGTGAGCCGCCTTGTGATCACAGGAGCGCAGGAAACGGATTCTGGCACCCTACGTTGTGTGGCTATTAATTCTGCGGGGTCTGCGACAGCTAACTTCACCCTGGCAGTCACAATGAGAGCAGCTACTCAAGCCAAACTGGATTCTGGTCACATTGCTGGGATCTCTGTGGGTCTTGTAGTGTTGGCCCTCATCGTTCTGGTGGTAGCCTTCCTGCTACTGGCTCGTGCCCGCTCCCACTCCTCACCCACTCCTGTCAAGGACTCCCCCACCACACCCTCCTCGGGTGAAACCTCCCCCAGCGAGCCCAATCCAGTGCAAAAACCTCCGCGACTCACCGAGCTGAACGGGTCTCCTGGGGCCTACGGATCTTCCACGCTCGGCAACCCAGACGTGATCAGCGAGGCTGAGCGCGCCGTGCGAGCTGTCAATGGTCACCTTCCCAACGGCTCCGTCCAGGGCGTGAGCGACGCCGGCGACTACACGCGCGTTGAAGGAGATTCCCTTTACCCCAGCGGTCTGTGGCCTGAAGAGGCTAACCCCCAGGAGGACCTCAACAACACGAATCCCTCCAATGTGATTCACGAGCACTTCAACCCTGGTTACATGGCTAACGACCCTGCCTTCGACGGCTATGGTCCAGTGCACTCCACGCCCTATCGACCCGACTATGAATCTCAGGATGACTTTGACCCACAGACCTATGGGTATCCCGCTGACTATGGGCTTCCCATTCCTGAGGCCGGGCAGGGGCGAGACTCTCGGGGAGCACCTGGGGGTCCTGACTGGAGCATGGCTGATCCCCGCGACACACGGGACGGCATGGACTCCAGCACTGACACTTATGCTTCCAGACAGGAGCTGTACGCATCGCATCAGGATGTATTCAGCCCTCACCAGGACTTAAAAGGCTCGAGGCAGGATCTATACGGCGTCACTAAGGAGCGGCCGCCAGTGTACGGATACCGACAGGAGGTGTTCGAATCTCGAGAAGACGTGGCGGAGGGGGCGGAGAGCCCCCAGGGTCCAACAGGTCCCCTGGGAGAACGGCCCTGGGTGCCGGGTTCACAGGCGCCGTCCTTGGCTCGTGGGGGCGTCGCTGTTCTCCCACCTCTTCCCAACGGCATCGCCAATCGTATTAAAGCTCGCGACTCTCCTGACGAAGGTTACCAAGAGGGTACCGAGGTGTAGCTGGGTCGCAGGGCCCGCCGTAGCGGCGGTCCCTGCTTCCTCCCGCCCACGCCCACACGCCCATCACGCTTTACAGTCCCTTCTGCTTCACACTCATCACCTTCTCACACCTCCACTTCTTGGCCCTCCCCTCAAAGCTCTCCCAGTGACTTGACGCCGTGACCTGATACGTGTACCAGTGACGTGATGCTCGTGACGTGTCGAAATTTAAGTGAAGACGCTGTGAGAAAGGAAAGTGTCACACATAATACCTCTTAAATATTTGCACAGCGGCTAAAGTGGAGTGAGCAAGTGTGCCGAGCCTCGCTAAACGAGCCAGACTTATTTCAGCAAATTATATTATTGCAAGGTAACTAGAGGGCACGAGAAAGCTTTTGTGAGGAGTGTGGAGGCGTGACTGACCCCAGTAAGTGTTACTAGTCCCAAGGAGTCCTCGCAACCACCACAGGCTGAGTGTAAGTGTCAGCAGCAGCAGGGAAGGTGTGGTCCTTGCTTCACTTTACACCTGGTCACACAGTGGTGGTGATGTACACAGCCGAGCCACCGTGTTTGTACTCGACACAAGGTTATATCAGTTGTTATTTTAATGTGCCAGTTGGCATGACACCAAAGACTGGGCAAGCAAGTCCTGGCGCTTGTGCTGGTGAGGACCTGCAGCAGGTCCGCGCTTGTGAAGTTACCTGTAAGAGATTCTTAGTGTATGCAGTGTGTGGTGGCCTGGAGAGCTAGTGGTCCTGTGTTCATATACACCACACACTACAGTCTTCAGTTATGTATTGTGCGTGAGGTAACCTTGTACTTGATGTTCACATTTTTCGATGCTATAATATAAACTTAAAGTGATCAATAAGCAAAATCATAAAAAACAAACTACTCTTGTGAGTAATGGATGTACTATAAATGTTGAATATTTCTTAAAGAGAATCATAGCACAAACTGTGAATTAATAAGTTGTTTTTAATGTCATAAGAGGTCTACCAGTCGCATTTTTTCCTCATCAATCCCACTCAGCATAAAGAATATATGACATATCTTCACCTCAGTGTTATGAGGTTGTAATAGCTATTGTAACATTCAGGTACGACAAAATCTGATACAGTATTATATATAATCTCGTGTTTAAGGGATCAGAACACTGAGAAGCTGTTAATACGTCACCCATATCGTCTTTACACTGTCAGTCACGTCCTTCTGACATTGAGGTGACGAAATGTTTCCTAGACAAGCCCTAGCGAAGACCTTAACACCACTTCCCCTTCCCCAGATTAAGGGATCAGCTGACTATTTTGGTACGAGGGGAAGTGGCTCTTAAGGGAATCACTAGCGTGTATTATCAAAGCCCGAGAGGGTATTTTGTATCCATTAATGCCCCTATCCATATCCCGGTACACCAGTACTCAAATATGTGGGATTCGGTTACCCAGGCCTCCCTCTCATCTAGAAATCCAACTAATCCATACTTCCGTTATCCAGGAACCATTTAATTAACTTTGTATAGAGCTACGATTGCACAGTTAACCAAAAAACTTTTTTAAGTTAACAGGCATTGGGTTATTCGATGCACTGTTTCCAAAATTAATATTTTATAGGACTTTAAATCTTGTCAGCTTTATTGATAATTTTTGCATAAACAAAAGAGTCAATGAATCAGACTTATGTTAAACCCAAGTCTAATCAGAATCCTGTTAATCAATTAGAACTTCCAAGAGACTTTAACAACGGTCATGCAGCCTTGTCTTATATGACACTGTCATGAACCCAACCACAGTTATTCAGTCTTGATCATCCTAGGAAGCTAAAGAGGTGTCATTTTCCCTTATGTAAATTGTTGCCCTCGCCGCCGGATCCCTAGGGACCAGGGCGAGGATCCCCCCCCCCCACACCTCGTGCCAAATAGCAAGTGCTGGGTAGCCACAAGGACGCCACTTATCCCTTTCCCCTTCAACCTCAGTGTAGACTTACTATATCCAAAGTTACATAGAGCTTTAATTGAACAACCACCGATGACTCAGTTCACTCAGATCAGTTGAATGAACCGCTGGGCAGGACCCCGTGATACTGGAATGAATGTTATTAAGTATGGGAACTGGTCCTGCAAATGTTAAGATGTCTCACGACCTGGCATCAGCGCTATCTATTGAGTACATTTATAATTATGATGCTCCCTCGGAAAAAAATAGTCTACCTTTGAAAATTAGAATAAAAAGTTGATGCATAAATACGTTAATGTAATTAAAGACATTGCTCATTTTTTATTTGATCTTTGCTAATAACCGTTGATGAAAACTGTTTAGAGGCTCTCTTGTGTTTCCACTGGGATAATATATATATAATATAATATATATATATATATATATATATATATATATATATATATATATATATATATATATATATATATATATATATATATATATATATATATATAATGTGCCGAATAGGTAAAACTGGTCAATTAGCAAGAACTCATTTAAAATTAAGTCCTTTCTAAATTTTCTCTTATATGTTTAAAGATATATTTTTTTCATTCATGGTAATATAAAAAATAATGATTTTGTACCAAAAGAACCTTAGGAAACTTACCTAACCTTATTATAACAAACGCAATTTAATTTAGCCTAATCCAACTATATATGTTTTGTATAAGTTTATAATAATTTAATAATGAACAAACACAATAAAGCATATTTTTTTCGTTAGGTTTATTACGATTTTTGCGAAACTGTTGCATACACAAATTTTCGCTTGCCCTATTCGGCAAGAAGTGCAAGTTTTACCTATTCGGCACGACACACACACACACACACACACACACACACACACACACACACACACACACACACACACACACACACACATATATATATATATATATATATATATATATATGTCGTGCCGAATAGGCAGAACTTGCGATCTTGGCTTAAATAGCAACGCTCATCTTGCCATATAGGACAAACGAAAATTTGCGTATGCAATAATTTCGCAAAAAACATTCTAAACCTAACGAAAAAAATATATTTCATTGTGTTTGTTTAGTGTTAAATTACTGTAAACTTATTTAAAATATATTTAGTAGGATTTGGCTAAAATAAATTGATCTTGTTATAATAAGGTTAGGTAAGTTTTCGAAGATTCTTTTGGTGCAAAATTAAATTTTTTTACATTAACATTAATGAAAAAAATATATTTTAAACGTATAAGAGAATTTTTTAGAAAGGACTTAATTTTAAAAGAGTTCTTGCTAATTGACCAGTTTTACATATTCGGCACGACATATATATATATATATATATATATATATATATATATATATATATATAATATATATATATATAATATATATATATATATATATATATATATATATATATATATATATATATATAATATATATATATATATATATATATATATATATATATATATATATATATAGTGTTGTGTTCGCTCAATAGATGGTGCTGGTGTCTCAGTGGTCAGGCAGTTGCCAAATTTTACAGAATACTTATGTCTGATGTCTGGATTTACACAACAATAAGTGTAGTACTTTATAATATAACAGTACGATATCTTATTTTGATGTGCTATATAATGTTTTGTCTTAATATTTTATTACAAAACATAAAGCTTTAAATTAAATATAAAACTACACAGAACATTAAAACAATGAATTTATTTAATACTGTTATTTTATTACGGTCGATACAAATCTTTAAAAGCGCGATAGAATTCAGTAAAGTATCAGTGGGGAATTATCTGTTGTAGCCTTGTTGTTTCGAAAACGGTCAAGAGTAACCAGCAACCTGTAGTCAAACTATACCAGCTTCTTAACACTTGAAAGGTCAAGGCTTGATGGTGGCAACACTGCCTCAGCGCTCACTATTAAGACCTGTCAACTCTTTTCTGATTCGTTTAAATATATCAAATAACTGTAAGCGCCGTTCTGATTGGCCGTGTATCATTAAGTATTTGTGAGCTCTATTCTGTTTGGTCTAAATATATAGTTAAGTACTTGTGAACTCCGTTCTGATTATTCTATATATATTTAGAACTTGTGAGTTCAATTCTGATTGGTCTGAACATACTAAGTACTTGTGATCTTCGTTCTGATTGGTCTGAATATACCATTAGTGGTTTGCAGGCTCCTTTCCGATTGGTTTGAATATATTAAGGGCTCGGCAGCTCCGTTGTGATTAGTCTGAATATATCTGAATTACTCATTGCTTCCTAAGTGTTTATCTTGTATGGGCAGTAATGTATTAATTATTTAATATATCAATATTTTCGCAATATTATTTCTATACTAACATGGAAGAATTTTTAGATACGTGTAAAGGAACTGCGAATAAGAAAATATTTCTATATTAACATGGGGAAAAAATGAGATATATGTAAAGGATTGTGAATAAGAGAACATTACAGTCAAGTGAGGGAAGAGTCAGACGGAACGTCAACTATCATTCACAATTCTCGCTGGGGTAGAGGTTAGTAAGTTTATTTATGTACAGGTACACATAAATACAGTTACACAAATTGTCATATGTAGTAACATGTGTGGAGATTGAGACACTTATGCACCATATGGGAATCTTTATGAAACGTTTCGCCACACAGTGGCTGCATCAGATTCCCATATAGTGCATAAGTGTCTCAATCTTCAACTTGTCGGTTTTCAAAACCATTCATCGCAGTAACATGTGTAGATTACCTCGGATAACCCCCAAAAAACGTCAGACAAAGAGACTTACTTCCATTGAGGTTTCTGAGGGTAGTTACTGCTTATGGTAGGAACACTCAGAGCTCTGTTTATTTGGAACTGTTTCCATCGTTTCCAAATTCCGGATTCAAAGTGCCTGTTGAATATTCATGGTGATTAAGTTGGGAGGGGTGCCCGAGGACTGAGGGAGGAGGGGGCCAAGGGTGCCCCTAAACTCTATCTTTCTCCGAGCTAACAGCCTGGACCCAACACCCCTGCACCCAATACCCTTACATATTTTATTGCACTAGATTAATCCAAATTCTTAGTCACGATACGACTGTTAAATGGCCACGCTTCGAGTGGATGATGATATTTACCGACTCTTAAAGTAGCAATTATACCCTAAATGGTCAGTGACTGAAAACTAATTAACTCTGTGACTCCTGGTGAATGTGTGATGAAAACTGTTACAATGATGAATAAGGTTCATGTGTGACCTGGAATCTACTTGCAACTCAACACTGATTGGGTTGTCTTAGTAAAACCTTTTAGTTTGTTGGGTTTAAAGCCAGTCGACAGTACATAGGCCATTAAAGCTGCCATTCACCTTACGCTAACATCAAGCACACTATAATTCAAACGATATAAATTAATGTAAACTCTGGGTTTGTATATACACGGAGAGATAGACACCAGTGTATATAACCGGTTCTGAATGGCTACGGCCGACACTGGTGTATATAACCTGTTCTAAGACCGGTGTATATAACTTGATCTGAGTGTTTAAGACAGGTTAGTGGTATGAGGTACTGCTGGTGAAGGTTTACTGGTATGTGAAACGTACTAGTGGTATGTGGGAGGCACTAGTGGTGTGTGGGAAGTACTAGTGGTATGTGGGAAGTACTAGTGGTATGTGGGAGGTACTATTGGTATGTGGGAGGTACTACTGGTATGTGGGAAGTACTAGTGGTATGTGGAAGGTACTAGTGGTATGTGGAAGGTACTAGTGGTATGTGGAAGGTACTAGTGGTATGCGGGAGGTACTAGTGGTATGCGGGAGGTGCATGTGGTATGCGGGAGGTGCGTGTGGTATACGGGAGGTACATGTGATATGTGGGAGCTACCAGTGGTTGATTATCACAAAAAACGTAATAAGCTAGAATGGGTTACACAGCGCTGACCGGTGGTGGGAATAATGTTGGAGACGTAAGGAACGAACAGGTGGGTGACACTGGATAAGAAGAACTTAATCTGCAGGGGCCATGCAGAACTTGGAGGAATGAAAGGCCGTCAGGTTTGATCCAAGAAAAGGGAGAATAACTAAATTTTTGTTAGTAAATTCTTATTCCTCCCCGTGAGCAGACAGAGAGAGAGAGAGAGAGAGAGAGAGAGAGAGAGAGAGAGAGAGAGAGAGAGAGAGAGAGAGAGAGAGAGAGAGAGAGAGAGAGAGAGAGAGAGAGAGAGAGATTATTAATTGCTGTGAGGCAGAATAATCAATAGCCATGTGGGTGGAGTTCTATATGAGCGAGTGACCAACTTATAAGTATGGTCAGTGTGGCGTTTGCTTCTCAGATGACTTCAGGCTGTCAAAATACACTTCACCTTCACCATAACACCTGTGACATAAGCATCACCTTACTACACGCTTATACAACACCTGCAACATATGCATCACCTTACTCCACGCTCATCATACAACACCTGCAACATATGCATCACCTCACTACACGCTCATCATACAACACCTGCAACACATGCATCACCTCACTACACGCTCATCACACAACACCTCACTACACGCTCATACACCTCACTACACGCTCATCATACAACACCTGCAACACATGCATCACCTCACTACACGCTCATCACACAACACCTCACTACACGCTCATACACCTCACTACACGCTCATCATACAACACCTGCAACACCTCACTACACGCTCATACACCTCACTACACGCTCATTATACAACACCTGCAACACCTCACTACACGCTCATCATACAACACCTGCAACACCTCACTACACGCTCATCACACAACACCTCACTACACGCTCATACAACTCACTACACGCTCATCATACAACACCTGCAACACCTCACTACACGCTCATTATACAACACCTGCAACACCTCACTACACGCTCATCATAGAACACCTGCAACACCTCACTACACGCTCATACAACACCTCACTACACGCTCATCATACAACACCTGCAACACCTCACTACACGCTCATACAACACCTCACTACACGCTCATCATACAACACCTGCAACACCTCACTACACGCTCATCATACAACACCTGCAACACCTCACTACACGCTCATCATACAACACCTGCAACACCTCACTACACCTCATCATACAACACCTGCAACACCTCACTACACGCTCATCATACAACACCTGCAACACCTCACTACACGCTCATCATACAACACCTGCAACACCTCACTACACGCTCATCATACAACACCTGCAACACCTCACTACACGCTCATACAACACCTCACTACACGCTCATCATACAACACCTGCAACACCTCACTACACACTCCTACACATAACAGAACATTTATTATTCTCATATATGTA